TCCTTCCCTCCCAGCCTCAGAAGAAACTAATGCTGCCAATAGCCTGATCTCGGACTTCTAGCCTCCAGAACTGTGAGGAAATAAATTTCTGTGTTTAAGGTACCAGTCTGTGCTACGTTGTTATAGCAGCCCTAGCAAATGAATACAGATTGGCCTCTCCCCTCACAATGTGATTACATTTAGTTTCTCAGCCTGATGGTGGACATCCTCAATTCCTCTGGCACTTTCCACTCCCGGCTGCTGAAGATATTACAGCTTTGCTCTGCCTACACCTCTCAGCCTCCCCACCTTTCACCCCCAGGACACAAGCCCTTTTGGATCTTAGCTATCATGAGGGGGAGCAAGAAAGGTTTGGACCTAAGAAAGGAGAGAAACCCAGAACCTTACAAATCCAACAACTGCAGGTACATAACTGACAATTGGAACCTGTGTATGCCTTCTGATGTGGACTGAATTGTGTCCCCCAATGTCCATGTATTAGAAACCTAACCCCCACTGTGACAGTGTTAAGAGGGTGGGAAATCCTTTCATGGTAATTGAAAGGTGANTAACCCCCACTGTGACAGTGTTAAGAGGGTGGGAAATCCTTTCATGGTAATTGAAAGGTGAGGCATTGAAGAGGTGATTAGATTGTGAGGACCATGCCCTAGTGAATGGGTTAATCCAATGAAGGTTTAACGGAGGTCATGGGCATGGTTCTGAGGGCTCTCAAAGGAGAGAACATAAGGAGCTCTCTCTTATTCCCCATATGATACCCTGCACCACTGTAGTCACCATCAGGAAAAGGCCCACACCAGATTGTTCCCTGGACTATGGACTTCCCAGCCTCAAAAACCATAAGAATAAATATTGTTTCTTTACATATTACCCAGTTTCAGGTACTTCTCTTATAAGCAACAGAAACTGACTAATACACCTTCAAAGAAGCATACTCCCAAAGTGGTACAATTGTGCATAATCAGATAAACCATATTATTAGTGGTTTAATAGATTTTTTTTTGTTTGTTTTATTAAATAGTACCACATATCAAGTTAGGTAGAGTGAGTTATAAGATTTTAATCTGAATAATTTATATTTAAAGCCAGATTATGAAAAGTAAAAAATGTGTATTTATTTTGTTATTCATCCTGATTGATGTCATCAGCTATAGTTGAAGATCCAATACAAGAAGTTCAGACTGTCCCAAAACTTCCCAAGTTAAAGGATTTAAAAATAAAATTTAGGTCTTTAATTAAGACTTCATCTATTGCATGGCATCTTTTACGCTGTGGTAGAAGATGAAGAACTGTGAGTCTAAGTGTGAAAAATAGATTTTTATAGAAATCCAGCTAAATGCTGCAGGGTTGAGCAAAGGCTTGATTTCAAACCCTTTCCCTGGCAGTTGCAGTGGAAGTAAGACCTTATAATTTTGTATATTTATGAGCAGTTGAGTTCTAATTCTTAGAATTAATTCTAAGAAAATCACTAGTTCTCTGTAGATACAGAGAATTGCTAAAGAGTAAATTGTTGATAACCATTGCAACTAATAGTGCTTTTCTCATTGTAGATTTCAAAATGTTTGGGAGAAAATATGAGTTATCCTTGGGGTAAATCCACAGGATAATTTTTGGAATATAAGAATTTATCCATGTTAGAATAGTGTAGTTTGTTTTCCACTGCCACAGTAAGGAAAATAACACTCCCTTATAGAGCAGATTAAGGGAAAAAGTAGAGATTCTGGAGCACAAGGAATTGTCTCTTACTGCACAACTTTTCCTAGGATAAGCACTGCATGACAGAAAGTTATTAGCTCACTCTTAACTGCTCTTCCTCTCGCANACACCTCTCAGCCTCCCCACCTTTCACCCCCAGGACACAAGCCCTTTTGGATCTTAGCTATAATGAGGGGGAGCAAGAAAGGTTTGGACCTAAGAAAGGAGAGGAACCCAGAACCTTACAAATCCAACAACTGCAGGTACATAACTGACAATTGGAACCTGTGTAT